TGTTTTGAGGGTAGAATTTGTCTTTTGCGAAATATTAAATAATGATAAGTTTAAATAATAATAAATAAATAAAATAAAATAAATAAAAAATAAAAATAATAATAAGTAAGTTTTGAAATCTCCACTGAAATTATGAGTGTGGGGATCACACACGCGCGCGCGCGCACACACACACACACACACACACAAGAGGGAGGTAAGGGGAGACATGATCTTTACCTACAAAATCCTCAGGGGAATCGACCGGGTAGACAATATAAACTCTTCAACACTGGTGGTACGCGAACAAGGGGACACAGGTGGAAACTAAGTACCCACATGAGCCACAGGGACGTTAGAAATAACTTTTTCCGTGTCAGAGTAGTTAACAGGTGGAATGCATTAGGCAGTGATGTGGTGGAGGCTGACTCCATACACAGTTTCAAATGTAGATATGATAGAGCCCAGTAAGCTCAGGAATCTGTACACCAGTTGATTGACGATTGAGAGGCAGGACAAGAGTTGAAGCTCAACCCCCGCAAACATTATTATGTGAGTACAGATACTCTGGGCAAATATGATCTGTTTGCTTATTTTCTAATTTCTCTGTTTTGTTCTGTTTTGCTAGTTATTTTCTTTCACTCTGTGTTAATATTTTCAAATTCATGGTTCTGCACCTTGTTGTGTTGAGTAATATATGTTGGAGAACAGATGCACTTGGACAACAATATAGGTTAATATAAGGGATAAAAAGCTATTAGAATTTTACTACTGTTACTACTAATAATTTATTATTATTATTATTAATTATTATTAATTATTGTTAATTTCATGAATAAAATAACAACCACAATGAAATAATAATAATAATAATAATAGCTTTTATAATTATATGAAAAAACAGTTTCGTAGTAATGATAAAAATAGTATTTCGGGATATTATCACAACGCGTTCACCGCGGGAACAGTTCCACATCGTCCCGTTCACCGCGGGAACAGTTCCACATCGTCCCGTCCACCGCGGGAACAGTTCCACATCGTCCCGTCCACCGCGGGAACAGTTCCACATCGTCCCGTCCACCGCGGGTACAGTTCCACATCGTCCCGTCCACCGCGGGAACAGTTCCACATCGTCCCGTCCACCGCGGGTACAGTTCCACATCGTCCCGTCCACCGCGGGAACAGTTCCACATCGTCCCGTCCACCGCGGGAACAGTTCCACATCGTCCCGTCCACCGCGGGAACAGTTCCACATCGTCCCGTCCACCGCGGGAACAGTTCCACATCGTCCCGTCCACCGCGGGAACAGTTCCACATCGTCCCGTCCACCGCGGGTACAGTTCCACATCGTCCCGTCCACCGCGGGTACAGTTCCACATCGTCCCGTCATCTGGCGGAATGGTCCGGTCCCCAGTCATGCAGAGACAGAGGCCTCTGTCCATTTCAGTCACCAGACTGTGGGGGAACTTCTCCAGTATGACGAGGAACAAGTATGGCAACTTCTTGAGCCACCAGACTGTTGTTGCTCCTCCTGTATGGCGAGGAATTGGGGCATTTTCTTGAATGACAAGAGTGTAGTGACTCCATTGTGGTGAGAAATTGAGGCACCTTTCTCTAACTAGTGCTTACCTAGTTAAGTATGAAACCATTGGAAAACCAATTCCTTGGCTCTGCCTCTTTGCCTTCCGGTTATCTTTAGGATGATTCTCGGACCCATTCTGCTTTATCATTCTTACTTTGAAAATAATGTGTCGAGTGGACTTCAACTACCTTTTTCTCTGATTCATTCTACTTACGGTGTCGTGATCATGCAACGCTGTTATTTCTTTTAGTCACCCTCTCATTATTCTGTCCATCTGGTCCCTTTTTCTCCCTTATCCGTTCTAATAACATTGCATTTATTAGGCATTATCTCTTGGAACCATTTGTTTGACAACTTATGTAATCTGTTGAAGTTATGTAACCATGCTTCCTTTTACATCGTACAGCAATAACTTGGTGTTAGTTAGTTAATTATAGCACGCCGGACGCTTCTTCATCTAAGTTTATTAGCAACAATTACTCTCTTTTTTGTTTGCCATTCCTTGCGTCCACTTATTTCCGCCAGAGGGTTGGTAGCTGTGTGTGGGGGAGGCGGTGGAACGCGCCGACGTGTTGAAGATGGCGGAGACTCATCGGGTCACTCATCACATGTCGTCTTCCAGTCTCATTATCTGCACTCTGAAGCTTATTCTGACGATTACATATATTGTGCGAACACCAAGATATCTTGCTAGGAAGCTTTTCACTACTGAGGTCATCTTTTGTGAGATAATGGCGCTGATCAGTTTTTGAGGACAGCTCAAAAATGTTGGCATTCTTACGCTGCGAAAAATATATTTTGCCCATTGTCTTGTAAACTGTCTTTCTGTGTCAACGAACTGGACACAATTGTGTTGTAAAAATGCGAATGTTCTTACTCATGTTTGAGTATATAAATATTCCTAATTTGTTTATTCGCTTGTGTCTTCTAAGAAGAGGCTATGTGCAAATCTTCTTTACGTACTTGCAAATTTCTTTACGCAATGCTAATGTGATTAAAATTTGATATTTAAACAAATTAATAAGATAAACAACGTCTTGCACCCTTAATTGAAACAATGGAATTGCCAATGACGTTTCGTTACCATTATCAGGCACAACATTCTTCCAGCAATTACATCATCAACGACAATAATCATATATGATTTTGTTATGTTCTTTACAAATTAAGTAAATGTGGCAGGCATCAATAATACAAATGATTAAACATTCAGGTGGTTCTAGGATTTAAATGAATTCAAAGATTTACTTAAAGATTCAAATGCTTTAAGGTTTTCCATGGATTGATTTTTTTACGTTTCTGCAATCCATGGCATTTATTAAAAAATATTCATTATATAAGTGGATTTTAATGAAACATTTGCACATAGAAATAGGATTAGTTGTGTCTATTGGAGTTGAGATCTAGCGTTTATATTGAATGAAACGTATTTCCCAGACATTTTGGTAATGATTTAGGATATATTCGTATGATGATAACATTAGTCAATGCAGTTATGGCATAAAATATAACACAATAATTGTTGTAGTTAGATCATATTAGGAGTTTAGTCACTATTTTAATAAATAAATATACCTGGGCTCTTTGGGGTATATGAATATGTTTCTTCAAGAAGTTACAGTTTACAGAACATACTAAACGACTCTTGTTATTTCATTGCAACATACCTGTGTCATGAGGTTATATCATGGGACCATACCTGTGTCATGAGGTTATATTGGTGACCACAAGAACACACCTTCAGTGTCACTATTAATTTGCTGCAGTTATCTTGACTTACCTGTTCATGACGGTGTTACGGTGACCATCTTGACGGGAATTTATCTTGACACACGTGTTAAACCTTGAAGCACCTCCCCTAGCCCACCTACACACCCGCACCTCCCTCTAGCCCACCTGCACACATCCACCAACACCTACACACCTACCCTTCCCTGCCCTCACTCCTCCGCCCTGCACCGCCCCACCTTGGAATCTTGATTAAAATAGATAGTTTCCATAGAACAAGCCCAATTAACTGCTTTTCGATCATCATATGCGTAATTTTACCAACTGGCGCGCATGTGCCGGGACTAGTGTGGGAGGATGTGGGGCTCAGCACAAGTGCTTATGATGTGAACTGAAGCGGTGTGCCTTCACCGTTTCCCCTTGAGTTATGTAGGTTAACCATGCCGGGGAAATAAAGGTCTTTCTCCGGGCTAACGCCGTGAAACGCTATCGAGAACTTGACGAGCGGAAGACTGTTTCAAAGCTATAAAACTGTGTCGTATGTTGGTGTTTCTCTCTATATCATGTGGTGGTATGTTGGTGTTTCTCTCTATATCGTGTGGTGGTATGTTGGTGTTTCTCTCTATATCATGGGGTGGTATGTTGGGGTTTCTTGCTATATCATAGGGTGGTATGTTGGTGTTTCTCTCTATATCATGGGGTGGTATGTTGGTGTTTCTCTCTATATCATGGGGTGGTATGTTGGTGTTTCTTGCTATATCATAGGGTGGTATGTTGGTGTTTCTCTCTATATCATGGGGTGGTATGTTGGTGTTTCTTGCTATATCATAGGGTGGTATGTTGGTGTTTCTCTCTATATCATGAGGTGGTATGTTGATGTTTCTTTCTATATCATGGAGTGGTATGATGGGCGTTTTTCTCTATATCATGTGGTGGTATGTTGGTGTTTCTCTCTATAGCGTAGTGAGGTATGCTGATGTTTCCCCCTATAGCGTGGGGTGATATGCTGGTGTTTACTTCTATAGCAATGCGTGTTATGGCCCTCTCGCACTCACACATTTATATATATGGTATTTGTTTTTAGTCACAAAAACGTTGCCCAACCAGTAATGCTAAAAAAACCAGTGGCGAACCAAAACTAAACATAATATTAACAAGTAATCGCAACAGACAGTTCATGAGCGATTTGTTATATAAATTGTTCCTGGGAGGAAATTTTTTTTAGGTTGTTATATATATTCCAAATTATCTTTTATCTTGGTCGTATAATAAACAATTTCAGATGCATTAAGACTTAAATTAAAACAACAAATTTAAAATGAGATCACATTCTGTTCACAAATCTATGCTACAGAAACAATAGATGTTATCGTCTCCGTCTCTTATATAGAATTCATAGAGATCGTTGCTGTTGACTGCTGCTGAGCTCTGATCCTGTTTGTAAACATAATCACTTACATAAAAAACGGGATATTCGGGAAACACGAAAGAGCCCACTTATATAATGAGACTGAAATCCTCAATATTTTAAATGTGTCCCATTATTGCTAAATAAATGTGTGCTTATTTTCCCACATAAATTTACCCTCAAATTTCCGGTCAGCATTGTATCTTTTTCTCAGTAAAGTGGGTAATAATTCTAAGTATGAAGTTGTTGAACATGTTGTTTATGGATTATTTTTTAACATCTTGATGTTTTTCGTGTTGACAGCCGTCCTGAGAGCATCAAGTCTCTGTACGAGCAGGTGGCCAACCTAGACTGCATGTTGACCTCGCTGGAGACGCAGATTGAAGTCCTCTCCGCTGTCCAGAACAACCTGCCCAAGGAATTCAATGGTAAGTAGACCGGACGAGCATGATTTTAGCTTCTGGTTTGGTAACTTTTTCCTTTGTCCACCAAACATGAGTGTGGATCTTGAGCTTGTCGTAGAGAGTCTGGTGAGGGGTATTTGTTCAGAATCTGGTGTCCTTGGGATGTTCTATTTTTGCTTAAATGGGGGCAGAATACCCACTGTTATGAGCTTAACCATGACAGTAGTTAAAGTTTTGTTACATTTTCTTTTAATCTAATGTAAAAATATTTTAGTTTGTTTTACTGAGTAGTATTGTAAAGAGGAGATGCAAATAGTTTCAGTTTTAAAGAAGTGTATGGTCTAACGTCCAGGGTTTCGTTTTCTTTGAAATCTATTTTTTCGTAATAAAGAAAATGAAATTTCAACGTATACTATGCAAAATATTGAGACTTTTGAGATAGCACGTCTTTTATTTTGAGGAGAGAAATATTTTGTTGCAAGCAGGGTAATAAAGAAAGATGTGCTGTTTTGCCTATCTAGAAACATTCAAACCCAAGCAACCCCCTTAATCTATCAAGGCCAATGCATAGGAAACGTCGATATGTATGTATGTATCTCTTGTATGTATGTACCTTACCTAAATAAACATTTATTTATTTATTATTATTATTATTTATATTATGGTGCTTCAATTGTTATGAACACGAGGCATTTTTAACGGATTGGTTGATGCCGTTATAAATTGCGACGTATTAGGTAAGAGGAGAGATAGAACAGGAAACCTGCACATAGGATTATCGAGGTCCCCTCTACGTTAACTACTGACCTTCTCTAATGTGCAGCCCACAACAGCTGCTTAACTCCTGGGCACCAATTTACTGTCAGGTGCACAGAGGCAATAGGCAAAAGGCAAACCCTCTCTGTTTTAGCCCTGGAATCGAAACCGGTACCCTCGTATGTGAGTCAGAAGAGGTTGTTGGGGTTGCTGCAGTCACTCAGGTACTGCTAAATTTTGTTGCAAGGAGCGGAACACGTTAGTGGTGTCATGGGTTGCTGAGCGGAATGATGGTCAAATTCCCGTTCTCCGGCGTCGTTTACCACTTTCAGGCTTCTTATGTGTGGTACTGTATTATAGAACCTTTGAGTACGTTTCGGACAGATGTAGACAGGTAAGATCCATATATTTTGCTTGACTGAGGATTGCAACCAATGTAAATTAACGAATCCTAGTACCCTAGGAAGGGTGATTGAGGTTTAATTTCGGTGTCTGGAAGCTCCCACTCTATGGCAGGAACAATGCAATTACTGCGTTTTAATTAATAATTCGATTAATTCGTTCGTTATTTGCGTTTAATATTTACCTCCTACGTTGTTGGGCTGTATTGCCAGGAACCTATATTAAGTCATTTGGCCAACGCAATCTTCCTGATATAAACATAAGGTCATTCTAATGTTCAAATGTAACAACTAAAGAGTTTTACCTTCGTGTAAAGCAAAGTTTAAGTTAGTTCACTTATTATGCACCCAATGCCCATCCTATGGGCTGTAGTGAAGCAGGCTACAGAGGCACATAAAAGGCTCAGGCAATGAAGCCCAAGATTCTTTTAGCTACGAGTTAAGAATGTTTAAATCTCAAATTATATTTTGTTTTCGTCTTGTGATCTTCCGCCAATAATAATACTAATGATGATGATGATAATATAATAATAATAATAATAATATAATAATAATAATAATAATAATAATAATAATAATAATAATAATAATAATAATAATAATGATAATAAGAATATTTTATTTATATGGTATATATGGTATATAAAGGTTTATATTACAGGTGTCACAAAGTAGGTACATCGTTTCGAGCATCCATAGGAAGATTCTCCAAATCCCTTACATATCACGGAAAAGAAATAGGTTATAGTCGGAGGGAGAGTGCCCGTTTATGTATTATCAGGAGGGTCTCCTAATTAATGGGGAGGATTTACACGATTTACACACTCGGTCACTAATCCGGTTACTGGCCAGATCTAACACTACTTAACATGACTCACAGAAGGGTCGCGTACATCAAGTATAGAGCCACGCCAATGGTAAACATATTCATTAATGCTCCTTCATATTGCGTGGAGAGAGAGATGTAGCTCAGGGGCCCCGCCTTCTTTCTATCAGTAGTAAGGTGAAACTACTCTTTTTTTAATGCTTTGTCACCTCTTCTTGTTGAATTGTGGAGGGAGATTGTCTTCACAATTTCCACTTCTAGTTCATGTAACTTATTTACCTTTCATGCATTAATGTAAAACTTCTTTACCCCACTCAGGCGTCTTTTATTTTTTTAATGTCTACCCTTGTCATCTCGTTCTGTTTTCTGTCGGTTGAAATACCTTGTTTGTCGACTTTGTTTGTAGCACTTAGAATCTTTTATGTTCTGACTATGTCTTCGTTATCATTGATGTCGGGTTCAACTCTTTGAGCTTTTTCTCGCAACTTGTCTCTTTTATCTGTAATAAGACTCATGGTAAAAAAAAAAAAAAATTATGTACTGTATTTTTCAAATGTATTTTTAAGCATTAGAAGATTTTGGATTTATGCACAAACTGCAAAATCTAAGATTAGTCTCACTTAAGTTGGAAAATGTGCAGAATGATTCGTTATATTGGTTTCTAAATGCCATTCTTATGCTATCCAAATTCATATATTGGAGTTGGATAACCCAATATACATGAATCTTCTTTATTTAATATTTCACAGTAAGCCTCTGATGACATACTGAGGAACACGATAGCGATCAGGCATAAATTCTTCCGCTTCCTTTATATTTATATGCAATTATATGAATGGTTCTAGGGCACAAAAAAAGTCTTCGGAACCTTTTGTGCTGTGATAAGACGCTGGAAAGGAGAATAAGGTCTACACAAAGTTAACTGAATCCATAATGAGAAAAGAATCATGACACCCGTGAGTCACATCCTGGTAGTGTAGCGAATTCCAGATTCCAAGAAATCCCAGTTGGTGGCTCACTCCCTCGCTCACTCTGTGTAGTCCAAGGTTGCTGACATCTTGACTGTACTGTGTGTCACGCCTCGCGACCCCTCCTAGTCACCAGTGGCTTGGGAGGGAGGCTAAAGGAAATGTCGGATTTGTAAACAACAGACGTTGTGACAGCGTCTGCATAAGCTATAGACACCTTCCTTTTGCAGTATGAAATTCCATGTGCAGTTTAACTTTGATCAACTTTGCTGTATATGCACATCTGTGCGAGATTAGAACTCCAAATTTACTCCAAGTATTGCGTTTGTTGTCCTCTGTTGATAATTGGCCGCGAAAGGGGAGGAGAGGGTAGGGGTATGAAGAGGAAAGAAAGGGGCTGAAAATAAGTAGCAGGAAGAGGAAGGGGGGGAATATAAGGAGTGGGATGGGGATGGGATAGTGGAGGAGCAACTGGTGGTTGCATTGTGTGACGTCATTACTTCCTGCCTTCTGGGGTTGGTGGTCCTGGCGGGTGACCAAGCGGAAATGCTCAGTTCTGGAGGCTGCTGCTCCGTGCGGATCGAAGCATATTTTGGTTTGTAAATTCAAGCTCGTAGCACTAGTTAAGTGCGAGTGTATGGAATGGGGGATGCAGACGGGTGAAGACGTAGCTTCAAGAAGGATGGTCGGTCTTCAGGAAAAGAGGGACCCGCCAGGAGCGGAGATAGTGCACAAGAAAATAATATAGTAATGATGTTTCGGCCCGTCTTGAAATCTTATGAAGTCGCAACAAAATAAAATTATATCATGCAAATAACAACAGGGGAAGGGATCGTTATTGACTAAGATTCACACAAGAGACTCCCTCGCCATCTCACTTACCTAACACGAAGGAAAATTTCTTTCGATCCCTTTTCTGGCTTAAACAGAAATTATTATTTTCTATAAAACAGGAAACGTTTCCCTGTTGTCAGGTGCGAGTGCTTCTCTCTAATGAGATTGCGTGTAAATAAAGACACGGAGAATTATAATGCCCCGAAACGTGTTTTATAACTAATGTTGTAAATTCATCTCACCTTCAGCAAAGCATGAAAAGAAAAAAATACCATTTATAAAGCTATAAAAATTACGATCTTTTTCATAGTTGGTATCTCAGTCAGTCTCAAACGTTTCGGTTGGGTGGTGACTCTCAGGTGGGACTCAGTGTGTCTTTGCCTTCCGTGGTGTATGGACGTGTGTACCGATTCTCTCAATCCTTAAGCTGTCACTGGCATATGCTTATAGTGTGGACTTAATCACTTTATGAGTGTGCAACATATGTGAAATGTGACAAGGAACGAAAATTATGCCTTCAGTTCTTAGACAAATTAAGGTCTTGTAAAAAAATTTATACATTATATGTCTTTTTTACCTAAACCAATATTCGTATTAAAATAGAAAACAAACGAAGAGTCAAGCAGAATAGAGGTTGTAACCTTTTTTATGCTATACTGAAAATAATGTAGGAAACTGTCAGTGGAGAAACCTTGGATGGCAGTGTTATAATTTGAATACAATAATAACTGTTTGGCAATAAAAGGAGCCTTGAGTGCTGAGTGGTTTGGTTTACCTGCTGTAGTGTCTTCAGCAGGATAACTCCAGGGACACCCATCGTTGATGCCTTAATTATTGGGAACAGGATAGTCTTGGGAATTATCTTAATGACAAAAATGATATACTTGGGAATTCTTGGAAGTTCTTGGAAATTATCTCATGAATAAAGTGATGGTGATATTAGTAGTAAATGTCTGCAGCGCAAGTTGTGCAAGCTAATGAGAAATAATCTTTGTAATAATAATAATAATCGTGAAACCATTAATAATAGTAATAATTCATTATCACTTATAATGAACGGCTTAATCACTATTAAGGCAATGGCTGGCAATGCCATTGCCAGCCGTAATAATGCCAAGGTCGTAGGTTCTCGCCACCTCAGAGCCCTAGTGGATTTTCCCATTAATATTGAAAATTATTAGTTATAATGATATATACATAGTGTCAATAATAGTCATAATATACATTATTGTTAAATGG